CAAATTCTAAATTTGTAAGACTTTCGGATTTAACCGAAACATCAGGACATTCTCATACATCTGAATATTTAATTGCCAAGGAAAATAGAGCTACATACCGTATGAGTAGTAGTATTCCAGAAACATCTTGGATCGAAAGTAAATTAGTTATGTCAAGAACAAATGATTCAGTAAGAACTCTCTCACGTGTATTTTCTTCTGTTATGAGTACTTCGCTACCGTCGAAACAAAAGTCACCGCTTGAAGATTTAACTGGTGATGGTGAGGCAGAAGGTATCATTTCTGAGAGTGACATAAGTAGCATGCAAAGCAGCATGGGACGTTCTGGAGCTGGTATGTAAATTATCATATACTTATATATTGATTTTTTAAACTATTATTAAAATATTATTTTATAGAAGGAAGTACAGAAGAAACAGAAACATCAAGTTTGGCTGGAGGAAAACCATATAATCGATTGGGTGAAGATTTATTAAGAATGTTTTTGGAAGAGATTAATCCAGATGTTACAATTGATGTAGCTGGAAGACGAATTAGAGCACATAAATGTATATTAAGTTCTCGTTGTCAATATTTTGCGGCTATTCTTAGTGGTGGATGGATTGAAAGTGCAGGAAATGTGATTTCTTTACAAGGGTATATTAACATTATAATATTATATGTATATATAATATATGTGATGAAATTTAATATTACAATTAAAATTAAGTTGAGAATATTTTACAGATATTCTTATAATGCAGTTCATTTTGCACTACGTCATATATATAGCGGAGAAAGCAATATACCAGATTCTATAAGCATTGTCGAATTAGCTACATTAGCTGATATGCTGTGTCTAGAGGGTCTTAAGGAAGTTATAGGTTATACCCTTAAAGTTAAATATTGTCATCTTTTTCATAAAGTAAATATTGCGTTTTTATCATATTTTTAATTTAATATAAATATATGTAATACAAATATTATTATCATAATATCGTTATTATAAAATCGTTAGCCTTGCCAAGTATGTGCTGTTGGAGTACTGGAGTGTATGCCATTAGCTGCAGCTTATGGGCTTGATGAAATATATCGTAAATCTCTAAGGTGGATAACACGACATTTTGTACGAATATGGCCATGCAAAGCATTTGCAACTCTTCCAAGAGAATTAATGGAAAAATGTTATTTACAGCATATAGTACATATGGTATGTGTAAAAGTACAATATTATATATATATTTAGTATTTGTATGTATGATAATTATTCTTTTCAATATAACTAATATATTTTAATAATGTCGTTACTTTGTAATCTTATTATTCCACTGTTTAGTCTACAGATAATGTACTTCAAACTATGATAGATTGTGATAAATTGTTAGCAACTTTGCCGAATGTACGATGGGCAGAACCGGTATACAGAATGGTTTCAAACTTGTTAGAAACGTCGCTAAAATTTTTAGCAGACAATTTTGCAGCTATATTAAATAATGAAAATTTTCAATCACTTGGTCGTGATTTAACATGGAATATAAGTCGTTTGGAGGATAATTTTTTATCAGCTGCAGAACATTTGCCACCTGAACAAGCATGTAAAAGTTATTCAAAGTTACATAAAATGTTGTTATCCACGCAAACAGATAACTTTCAGACAAAAATGAAATGGGGTCCGTTATTTATTGATTTTTTAAAGAAAATTCAAGCTCGTGTTGAAAAATGTTTGGTTCGTGAGGCAGCGAAGGCTGCAAGATCGACAACATGGTTAAAAATGGATTTGGAGCTTCGCCGTAGAATACAAGAATTAGCATGTCTTGTTATTTTACCGCACGAAACATCGAGATGTCAATCAAGGCATTCGAACTTTATAAAGGTACTCGTTATTTGTTGTTAAACTTTATAAAAGTACTCGTTAAAGGAATTAAACTAATTTTATTTTTATTATTAAAGGAATCGAAAACATCGTCAGCTTGCTCAGCAAGTCGCAATTTAGATCTAAAACGTGTGAAAATGGCTATATCGGAACATAATGATAAAACAATGAAGCAAATGTCAACGGCACAAACGCGAAAAATTCTAAATAAACCTAAAAGCGATCCTGTTGAACGAAAAATGCAAGAAGATAATAAACCAAGCACCAGTGATGCACCAAGTCGACCTAAATCATGGCCCAATAAAATAGAGGTAAATTTTAACATTTTTAACATGTTATATTATTTTCTTAATACGAATAAAAATTTTATAGGTAAAATCTAGATATTTAGAACCAAGAACCAAATTTGTACCAAAAGAAAATGTGTCAGTAAGTCAAGATAAAGTGGTAATACAACGACGAAAAATCACAATCTCATCATCAGACTCATCGCGTACATCTAGTCCTGCGACAAAACGAGTGACAGAGAAAAAGCCTATAGCAAGAGTAAAATTGCCTGTAAAAAAAGACGTGAAAGCTCTTTCGTCTGATAGTTTGACAGAATCGAACATGACCAGACCAAACAAGAAGAAAAATGTGATCAGTAAAAGTTGTGGTATCACTCGTCCTGAATCACCATCCTTTAAACAGAAAAGCACGGAAATTGGATTGTCTGTAGATTCATTAGCAGAATCCAAGAACAAGACATCGGTTGTAAAGAAAAATGTTAACAAAATGGATACATCAATGTCTACAGATAGTCTTATGACAGAAATAACTGCAAATCCTAAATCTAATGCGTTACAGAAATTATCACCAACATTAGGAAAAAGTATAAACAGAGCACAAATTTATGACAGAACGAAGAAAAATATATTGCCGATTCAGCAGAAGAATCCATTAACGGTAACACGTAGGCCACCAAGATCATTAGAGAACTCAACCGCGGCCAGTAGAAGCAGAGCGGCAGCTATAAGTGCTTATCACGGTTCGCCTAACCTACGTAGAAATCTTTTAGACGCAGCGAAGACACCAGATATTTCAAGTAAATCAGTAAATAATGTTGCTTGTCGGACAACGAACGCACGACAAGTTTTACAATCGACCACTATGGTTAATTCTATTGTTAAAAGGGAAAAGAAAGATAATAGTGCTAATCAACAAGGATCCGATAACTCTAGTAGAAAATCTTCCCCCAAATCTGGCACTAACAGACCAAATAAGCCGGCCCTCGCTAATAAAAAGTCATCTTCCAAGGTCAACGATGAAAAGATCAAAACAAAGTGCCATACAGAAGAGACTCCCAAACAACTTACAGTGGGTTCTAGATCAGGCACGTTTCTTAAAGATGAGCCTACAATACTTAAAAAAACAGACATTAAGTCATCTCAGATAAGTACTTAAATGTGCATATGAAATGTAATCTTTTCCCAAGATACATACCTATTAATGAACATGCATAGAAAGTTATATAACGCAGCTACGAAAGTGATAAATGAAATGAATCATGCTCAATGTAAGATAGATTGCAATTTAGATTATATTATGGCACAATCTAAATGCACACTGGAGATATGTACATGCGTGCGCGCGCATGCACATGTATAAACGTTCTTATAGCATGTGATTTTTTTGTTATATCAAATATCGCTACATACAGTCAGACGTTATATCTATACATACACACATACGCGCGTGTGTGTGTGTATATGTATACGTATATGTATATTTTAATCGCATTCCTTATTGAAATACTTTTATCATTGGAAGTTATACTATTCATTAATTCATAATTTATTTGTATTTTATATATAGTATAATTTATGTTTTGATTAGGACTGTACACATAACATTAAATTGTTGTTAGATGTACAATCGAATTTTTATGATAAAATCTTAAGTTAATATTTTAGGTTAATTAAAAAATAAAGAATGAAAAAGATTGTGAATTTATAAAATATTTTTTTCAGAGATAATTCAATTATTAATTAATTGTTTTGTAATGGACTGCTAACAATAAGCAGATCTTATAGTCTTATAATAAATTTGAATATTTCGATTTTTTTCTTTTTAGCATCTATTATATAAACTAATATCTTCAAAGATCGGATGAAGCTTAACAAAAAATCATATATTACTTCACGTAGATATGTATTTTAAATGTTTGCAACTACATTTTCTGTCTATATCAAACATACATATAATATGATCACTTATAATATACTTTTAGGTAGTTGCAAAGATTCCCTTTCCAAATAGAGCCATGTTTATCTTTTATTTTTTCTAGCCTATTTTATTTCTACAGTACATCTGCAATAGGACAAATTATGATTGAATTTTACTTATTAGATATTGCCATAGTATATATGTATATTTAATTCATTGATGTAGATTTATAATCTGTATAACATTTAGGATATAGGGAATGTTGTATTGCTATATACATTTAATATATATAACAGTAAGAAAATGTCATATATGTAAACAAATTTTTATTTACTATTTTTAGATTTCGTATTAACTAATTTCGTCAATCGATGAAGATATACTATAGCAAAATAAGAAAGTATACATTTTGATTTAATATTATATGTGATATTTTGGGATCTAAATTATTTTTTAAAACATATTATATCAATTATTTTCTAATACGCTAAACGATCAGAATAGAAAAAATATACAAATATTATAATTCTGTTCTGATCATTTAGAAATCTATTTAAAAAAGTTATTTACATACATTTGTTCTATTGTAGATTTAAGTTGATTCAAATTAAATATAGTCTTGAATTGATATATTGCAAAATAATTTAATTTTTATCTTCATCGACATCTACAAAACATAAACTTCTTGCTTCGCCTTAGTGTACTGTACGTTAATATATTTATTTATTAAATTCTAATCTATATTTTGCAATGTACATTTTTATGCAATGTTTATATCTAGTCATTTGTATATTAATTACTTTTATGTAATGTTAATAAACATTTAAAAGTGTTAAAATATTCCAATTAACTTAATTAATTACCTAACTTAAAAGTAAGAAAATATTTAAATTACAAAAATCATTTAATACAATAAATCATTTTAATAAAAATATATTTAAAATATGTTAGTTATAATATAAAATTATAATATGAATTAGAATACAAAACTTCATTATACATTATGATACATCAGAATACATAATAGTTGATAAACTATACATCTAATAACGTTCCTCTTGGTCTTGTCCGTTTAATATTTGTTTCAGTTGGTAGCATCGCTTTTCTTTTATTCATTCCCTTTCTTTCAAGTTGTTTTTCTATTATTCGTGCATTATTTGCATATGAATCGGCAACTTCTCTCTAGAAATAAAATTTAATTCAGAAATTCCTATTGTGCAGAAATATATCAAGTATTAGCTTATTAAACTTACAGCTTCGATTTCATCTTCTTCTTCATCTATTGTAGATACAGTTACAGAACTAAATTTACCCATATTCTTGGTATGCTTCGTTACCATTATTTTTTTAGGTTTTTCAATTGCTACTTGATTATATATATCAGTCATTGGACCTTCACCAGAACTTTTTATTACAGCACCTTTTACAATAAATACAATATTCATGCTAAGATCATGTTTATAATACAGGAAAAGACCACATCTGTAAAAATATAATTGTATGACAATTGTAGAGTAACATTTTATATACGTTGATTATAATAATAATCAAATACATACTTTTTACACTTTTGTCGATACTGTTTTTCTATTCCTTCTGAACGTTTCAAATAAACAACTTCATCTTGTTCGCAAGTCATTTTATGAGCATGTTTACTACCATCGATGACCCGCGCTCCATCTCTTTTTCTTAGTGGTAATTTTTCAATAGCACAATCTGTAATATAATAACTGTTTTCTAATTGTTCCTTTTATGGAAATACATGATAACAAAATTCTGTAACAATCTAACCTAAAATCAATGTCATTTGACCACATAAACAATAATAAATATGTAATGGCTTTTCTTCACCATATTCTTCTTGATCTTTGGTATCAGAACATATAATACTTCTTGAAACTACCTTTGGCATTTTTTTTTACATTAAGTTTTTTATCCAAAAATATAATTTCAAATAACCTTCGCAACTTTACAGCAATGTAAATAACAATATTTATTTCTATAGTATATATATTATTATATAGTATCAAAGACAAGAAAACTTTTCATTGAAAAAAAAATTACATTACTGTTATTTTGAGGTTATACACTTATATTGCTATTATTAATTTATATCCACATGTCGAATTATATTGCTATTGATTGTCACACTAAAGAGTATAACAATTTTGAGGTATTATAGAAGCTAGAAACTATGATATGGAAAAGGACAAATAATGTGTAATTGATTTGGTATCAACTTTACAGTGTGGACAAATGAACCAATGACAAACCTTTTTACTAATTTTAGTTCTTTTTACAGTTATCATTATAATTTGTTTTTTGTTAGTTGGTAATACATAGAATTAAATTGATAAATACTACATTTTTGTTTCAGATTATTTATAATTTGTTTCTATTGTTTGTAAATTTTGTGCAATGAATTTAAGTTTCGTTGTGTAAATTAAATGTATTTCATGGATTATATACACTCTTATGTAAAGAATACTACGTTATCGATATAACCTCGTCTTCGTCGGTAATAATTTTTAGCATTAATTCTCATTATCTATTAACTTCAGTTATAAGTCATTGATGTCGCAAGGGATGGTAATAATGCATTCAAATATCGTTCGATGATAAGAAGGGTTTGATATATATATATATATATAAACAAGCAAATATAATTCAATCATTGTATTATTGCGATAATTATCTAAAAAAAAGGACAAATCAATGCGAAAACATTAAAATTAATTAAGTTAACTGACAAAGTTCGTTAATATTAATCTGATATTATGTAATCATCTATTTTGTCATTCCGGATTGAAATTTGAGTATTTTACGTTTATTTTTCAAGGTCAAGATGTCATATCAAATTGATCATGATAAGAAGAGAAAGAAACGAAATTGTTAATAGAGTTAAAAAGATAAAATAAAGGTAGGTATCTGTACGTAAATAATATTTTATTATTGTACATATAATTTTCCGCATTATATTAACGAGAAATAATTATTAATTTTGTTTATGGAATAAGAATACATAATTTGATACTTAAGATAAAATAAATATAAACATATATACATACATACATGCTCGTGACTGTTTGTAAACTAAAGAACGCATTTACATATGGCCGCTGTTTTATCTATTAAATCAATTTTTTACCTTGAAATTGTAAATACGAGATTATAAAGACTTGGTCGCAAGAGTTTGATCGATCAAATAGAGTTATCGCAATGGTATGGTTTTGTGCCCTTGAAAATATGAAATAAAATATTCGTGAACTTTCTGCGGATATTCAACTAGTGAAAGGAATCCGACGTTATAGAAACTCAACGAACTCTTAGAATTTTATTCTATTATTTTTTTTATATATGTTTTTCTAACATTATTGTTACGAGTAACGAATCTAAATAAAACGCAAGTACCTAATTCATAGTAAAAGATTTTCATGCGAAAGATTGTTATTTTATGAAGGATACATTTGATGTATGTGTATGCGCTTGCGCGCTTGCAAAAGCACTTATCTGTAAACTCTCAAAATTCTTTCTGACTGGAAAGCGGCTAGAAAATCGAATAATTGAAGATGAATCGATAGGTAGAAAACAAATATTTTTATGAATGCAATTGACGGGATCTTAATATATTACAATGATCGACGAAATGACGTCATACCAGCTTTAGGACCATTGAATTCGTAATCGTAGTAGGATGCCATTGAACGGGTTAAATAGAATCTCTTTAGATCGATCAAATATACATACATACTGACTAGACGATGATATATCAAGATTTAAACAATGAATTTATTTCTTTCTTCTTCTTTAAAAAAATGGACGATTATTTCTGATGTATTACAAAAATAAATCGAAGACATTAAAAAATTCGTAGTTAATAAACTTAATCGGCAAGATATATTTAGGTAGATGAGAGTCATTGTAAAAAAAAGGGCGAGAGTGAGAGATCGAACATAGGAAAGTCCTTGACATGGCAGACTGTGCATATCGAATTTTATTCTTTCATGGTATTTACGTTTATACGCTTACGTCATAACATGACTCTGAGATGACCTTATTGTTAGGGACACGCATCACCGATCAAACGAAGTTTTTATTCTTTCTCGCATTCTTATCGTTTCTCGATGTCGACGAAGAAACCATTAAAAGTAGCATATACATATACCTTACGTCTAAGGAAATATTAGCGTATTGAAAATATAATACACGAATAAAAGAAAAAAATAATCGAATAATTAAAAAGTAAGTGTATAAAAGTATTATAGGATAGAATAGGTATGAGATGAGACAGTAATTTGAAAATAACCGCCTCACGCGCCATATTGTAATACGGGTTAGTTTGTGTTGGTAACGCTGGGAGCAATAAGAGCGAATAGGGGGTCGGAATGCGCGGCGGTGGATGCGCAGTGATATCAGGCGCGCGTGTTACCTTGACAGGAGTCGTCCGTCGCGGCGCAGGACGAGTTCTCTTCGAGAGTTTGCTATTCTCTTCGTTATAAAAGGCTACGTCGGTGGTACGTACGGTAACCTCGTCCGCGCGTGCTCGTTCGTTCGCCTGTCCATCGTCCTCGTCGTCAATTCTTTTTTTTTTTAACCCTTCTCGTCGTTTCTCATCCTAATGCTATACCTTTTTTGAATATATCGCGAGCGTATCGCGATCCCAATATAATCTGCTTGTGATCATTATTATTATCATCATCATCATTATCATCATCATCATTATCTTCGTCTTCGACATTGTCGTTGTCATCTTCAGTCGTTATCATCGGTCGTGGTTAGTCGTGGTGCGTGTGTGACACAGACGACAGAGTACGCAGGAGGAAAAACAGGAGGAGGAAGAAGAAGAGGAGAAGGAGGAGGTGGAGGAGGAGGAGGAGGAAAAGGAGCACAAGCAGGAGCAGGAGGAGAGGAGAAGGAAGATCTGCCGAAGAAGTAGTAGGAGTAGGATGAAGGGAAGAAGAACGAGGTGTAACTTTTCATTTTTATTTATTTTGTTCTTTTTCTCTTTTCTTTTTCTTTTTACGTATACGTGCACAAACTAGGGATCACGCATGCACGCGAGAAAGTGGCAGCGTTTTCACGCGTCGACGGTAACACGTGTACGTGCGAAAGAGACAAGCAAATATTATTCTATTGATACTAACTTTACTTATTTCGATGTCTAATCTAATGTGCCTCTAAAACATGAATTTGAATCACTTTGAAAGACATATCTTTTAAGAAACATTCTATACGTTTTGAGATGTAAACTATCGAGAGAGAGAGAGAGGGGGGGGGGAGAGAGAGAGAGAGATAAGGCTATCATCCGTTCAAAATTATGTTCGTCGACATTTTCATCCGATTGACCGGCTGGCTATCTCTCGAGCCTTCTTGCAACAGGTAATGTTCTAAAACTGCATATATTTCATTACATTATATTTATATCCATTTTCTATTATTCTTATAATCAAATAGCGATTAAATAAAATCAAAATATATACGTTTTTATCTTTTTTTTCCTTTTTTTTTTTTCCTTTATCCATTTCTTCCTCATTTCGTTTTTCACCTTACGTGATAATTCGATTGACATTCCGTAAATTTCTATAAAATTTAAAATTATCATCACCTTTTTTAATTGAAAATATAACACGATCGTTTACGATTAAGACAATCATATGGATTTTCGGCGGTTTCTTTCTACTAGTCGATACTACTTGCTCGCCAATGGGGGTTACTAACCTGAAAACATTGCTTTTCGTGAGGTATTCGTAGTGAGGTTAGAAAGAGATCGCGAAATATACACGTATTCCTCCTTCCTCGTTATCAAGCATCGACCCGATTAATCCCTTCGTGCATAATTGTCGTTATACTTTGGCCATTTAAAAGCGATTCTTATGGAAATTGTAGTAGGTGGTCTACAAAGGCTGTCGATTACATCGCTTAGGACGACTAAATTTTTGGTTCTCTCTCTCTCTCTCTCTCTCTCTCTCTCTCTCTCTCTTTCCCTCTCTCTGTCTCTCTCGTTTTCTCTCGTTCTCTCACTCTCTTTCTCTTTCTTTTTTTCTTTGTCTACTTACGATATTCTCACGTAGGTATATCAATTTTTTTCGATAGTGTTTAATAAACGCTAAATAACACGAAATAGCCACAAAAATTGATAATATGCTGATGTTTTATGAAAGAGTGTTTATATAATTGAATATGCGAATATGGTAATCGCGAAACTCGCGACATTAGCATTGTGGCAACGTGTAATAATATCGATCGATCGTAACGGTTGTTATTCGATTTAGAATGTGGATTGAATATTTTTAAAGGATTAGTTCATTTATCGAAAGATAATTACATATCGAGTATTATCGAGTAATTGTAATAGGGAATATTCCGTATAAAAAATGAAGCGAATTCCCGCGGGAATTTATTGGTATGTTCTCTCTCTCTTCCTCTCTCTCACTCTCTTTATCTATCTAACTATCTATTTAACTCTTTCTCGTATCTTTCGAACTTTACGAATATCGGCCCGGTAATGTCGAGATTATCTTTCGTAAAATTGAATGAAATTAACCATTCGAACAATTTTTTTTTGGAAAGATATTAATGAGATTAAAAAATTGATAGATTTATCACATCTTACTTTTCGTTTATCATTTTTTTTGGGATAGATTTTTGATCATCTGCGTCGTATCATAGATGAACGTGCACGTTGAACGCGTATATTTGCAATTAAAAGGATTTATCGTTCTTTCGATTATAGAAAAGCAGGAAGGTTGTAATTAGTCGCAATAAGATATGCCTTGCCCATCTATCCTCATTCACTTCCCTATTTCCTTTTCCTGGGATGAAATTACGTATCTCCGCATCGTTCTTCTTGTCTATTTTGTCTATTGGTTTTCTCGCGATCAACCCGTCCGTATGTTTCCTTTCTCGCCTTTTGGTGTTCTTTCGATGAATACGTAGAGATGTTTTTACGTAATAAAGATATACAATGTGTTTCAGAACACATAATTTGAACATAATTTTGGCGTATTAGAATAAAGAAAAATAAAGTTAGTTCATACAAACGTAGCCCAATATATGACCAACATTTTACTTTCAATCGTTATTGTGTTATATCTCTTGTTTACTCGTTTTTTCCAATAATTCCTCGAATTGACTACATTTGACTAAACGTCTGAGCAAAATATCGTCTTATCTTTAACATTTTTACTCGTTCAAAGTTGTCTGGTATGATACGAATTTATTCGGGAACTTGTCTAATAATACGTTGTCGAAGTATCTCAACGTTATCTCTACTCCTGCTGTGTTGTAAACTAAATTGGTTTAAGTGACTTCCACAGATAAGAAAATCTATTGGATGTAAGTTCGACGAGCGAGGTAGTCAATTAACTGCATGTAATATACGAGCCGATTTTTATTTATTTATTTTAAAAACATTTTTGATAATTTTCTTAAATGAAGGATTGTATCAGAAAAATAGGCTGCATTTTCGAAAACGAGATCCTATCGGATTGATATGTTTGTATGAACTTTTTCTCTTTCTCTTTTCTTTTTTTTTTTTTCTTATTTTAATGTATTGAATACAGCAATCGAAATTATGCCCACATGTTCTGAAATATCCTGTATAAAAGTAGTAGAAACGCGAGACAAGTCCGACGTGATGACGGCGTCATCGGCCTTTTCGACGTGTTGTGTCTATGTATGCGTATGTAAATGGACGCGCGCGTGTAAGTAAAACGCCAACTTAAAGTGAAATCGATTAATGCCGTTTTCCTCTTTGTTTGCGCAACTTCGGTCCTTTTATCTTTTACCAGGGTGAAATAACAAAAAGGGTGTTATTCCACGCGATCGATCGATCGTGGATCGATGAATTTTTATCGTATACGTTTATGAAACACCGAGTCTAAACAGCTCACTATGAAGATATTAAACGATTTCTTTTCTTTCTTTTTCTCTTTTTTTTTTTTAACAAAGTATTTCGTTTTAATAGACTCGCTTAGATATTAATCGGTTCTTTTGTTTTTTTTTTTTTTTTAATATCAACGAATTACGTCTGTGATTTTTTTTACATTTTTGTGTGTTTGATATATCGCAGTTATTTTAAATATTAAAAATGCTGATAGTAACGATTTCTTTTTTTTTCTATTATCATTTAACCCGTAATATCAATTTTATGATATGCACGAGATATAGACATCACGATGTTGGTTATTTTTTAATATCATTAATAAAATCTCGATAATACTTATGTGAATCGATAAAAAATGTCATCTCGTAGACATATGTTTCGTTACAGCAGTTTATACAAAGCTTTTCTACGAAGAGGAAGAAAGATACATATGTATACGATAAAAAGTTCTTTCCTCCACCTCCCAGAAAAAGTATGTCCGATATCTACATTGTTGTGTATACGTTCTCGTGTGAATACGTAAATACGTTTGGTGGCAACGTGATCATCCGAGGAGATTCATTTTTAACACTCGATTTACATTCTATGACCTTTCTCGATGGAGTAAACAAAATTCACATTTTTCCCGAAAGCTTTTGGCATTATTATCTATTCTAGCGCCAACAAAAGCTTTGAATTTTTACAAATACACTTTGCAAATATATTTAGAATTTAAGGGAAATGTTTCGATAACTTTATAATGTAATAATAAATTAACAGAAAAATATGAAATATATATATATATATATATGTATATATATATTATAACATTAATCATGCTTTTTATGATCTTATATTGGATTAATAAAAAAAGAAAAATATAAGTAGATGATAAACGAAAATAAAAATATCTGGAGAGATTATTTGCAAATCGGCCATCGCGATTACGTCAATATTATCTTGAATAATCTTGAAATACATGGATCGTGTCGTCGAAAGACTTCCGTGGTTTTCTATCTTGAAATGCGATCTGACATGATCGAACGCTGTTCGCGCTGAATAATTTAAACGTTCCTATTTTTATTATTATCCATAGCGAGATATGCTAGATATATTCAGTATGTTATAATCCTTTTAACAAAGGACAATCTAAACGAGATCTTAATTGACTTGTTATATTTTTAATCTTTTATTTTATTTTTATCAATTTCTTTTTTTCCTTTATTCCTTTATTTCTTATGATATTGATGCTGTCATTGTTACGAATGTTTCAACACTTGGCAGAACAGCCTTGGTGATTGCTATGTTTCACATAAGACATTACAACATAGATGTCGATGACCGAATCTCAACCTACTTGCCTTCCTCATTTAACCGTGTTTCTTTGATGTTCTACAAAATCTAGGTCCGAATTGCCCTGGTTTCCTTTTTACTTTAAGGAAGCATTGTTTCATCAGCGAGAAGACGGTACAAAGACGAAATTAAGTAGGTTATCACGTGGTTATAATGCGTTATTGGACCGAGTAAAAAACAAAAAAAATTTTCATGCGCAAACTTTTGATAGAAGGATGGACAAATTTTCCTTCATTTTCTGCATCAATTTATGGTGTATTAATTATGCAGTAATTCTATTAATTCCCTCTCTCTCTCACTCACTCTCTCTCTCTCTCTCTCTCTCTCTCTCTCTCTCTCTCTCTCTCTCTCTCTCTCTCTCTTTCTCTCTCTTTCTGTCTCTTTTTATCTCTTTTTCTCTCTTAGTATCATTCGGTCTCTTTTAGTTGGTGTTACGTATATCCGCCTCGTTTCTATAGGACAATAAATTGTGCGTCGAAAATCAATAACTACCGTACTATGAGACCACGCTTGATGCATGTCCGATTTATTTTTCCACCTGTCGGTCTTCTGCCTCCATAGAATGATTACAAAAAGTACGATAACATCTATCGGTTTAATCGATCCATTCGGTTTATCCATCGTTTCTTTCTTTTTCTTGATTTTTATTTATTTTTTTATCTTTTAAACTTCCTATCATTTTCTCATCTTTGTTTTCGAAAAGTTTTATATAACTTCACGCGTTACCAATCGTCTATCACGATTTATTC